AAACTTAAAGTGCCCTTCAATTGATAATTTTAGATACTATTTTGATTAAATTTTATAGATTAAAAAAAAAGCTAAAAACGAAAACTCAAATATAATTCTTAAAATTTTACTTATGTTTTTTTTGATGAAATATTAAATTTATTTGATCAATGGAAAAATGAGGTTATTTACAAAATGAGTAAAACAAAGAATGGAAAACATGTAAATAACCAATCCTACTACATCTATCATAATCTCCAAAATTATCATCATCAATGTTCACCTTCTCTCAGCCGCCACGAGGTGTTTCTCTCTGGCTACTATGAATCTGCTCGTGCTCTCTCTCTCACAGCAGAGATATGTATTCACGATTGTTCAAAGGAACAAAAAATCCAAGCCACCGTCGTTGGTCAACACTATTCTCTACCTTTGCTATTGGTAAAAACTCTTCTTTCTGGCTGTCACTCATTTCCCTCGTCGATCATGACTAGAACATTAAAAACCGCTTTAGAACTCAAAACATAAGAACGAATGAATCTTTAATTTGTAATGGAATTAATCTTTAAAATCTATGAATCCTAAAAGTCTATTTGAACAAAAAAAGTTAAAACAATCATGAAGTTTAAGTTTGAGATGTTCACAATACCCTTTGATATCAACTTTCATTGGTAAAAGAAAGTATTGCTCATCTAATTAAAGTTCTTTCGAGTATGTTGTTATTTTTTTTTATGCGCATATATTCTTAAAACGTAAAGTTAGGTGGTCAATCTAGTTCTATCATTAAGAATAACCTAATTGTAAAATCCAAGCAATTATCCGTAATTATATATCTTTACCTGATCATTCCATAAGTTTTTGTTGAACCCTATATTCCAACAATTTAACTAGTGACATATACCAACAAAATCACAAAAGAACTTACAGACTAATCGATACATTATTAATATAAGCAAAATTTATATGAATAACTAGAAACGACAATTTACCAATTGAACAATAATACGGCTTGAAAATGATATTTGAAAAGGTTGATATGAGATATAATTTTACCCGCATATTCAAAAATTATAGATTTTGCTTTTTAAAATTGGTATGAATCGGATAACAGGTAAAATACAGAAACCACCTATTACGCTACCACTCAAATCATACGAGAACTTATACGCGATGGCATAGGATTTGATATATCATACATTATTGCGAGATCGCGACTTACAAAAAAAGAAAGAAGGGTTTGGTTAAGAAAGTTTACTAAGGGCTGGCTTTCTCACTAAACCATTCTTCTTATTTTTGAAAGTCATTTCCTCGTTGAATAGTTGGAGAGATTACCTCTTCTTATTCTTGTTTCTCCCTCTCTATATGTGTGTATATATAGTTATGAATGGATACATACAGTATTGTCATTTTGAAGGGTCAACTTCAATATTAAATTTGAGTAAATCCTTAGCTAACTATTACTATTATTTTAGTATTGTTTACTCAGTCAAACAATATGGTATTTCGTCTATGCCAAATGATACAATTGTGTTCAATTCATTTCATAATAGATCTGTTTAATATTGGGGTTTCCATTATTGTTGTTTAAAATTTTTAATGTAAATTTTGACTAGAAATTATCTTGATTTTCCATTTTTAAATTTCTATATATCGCAAATTCAAAAGTCAATTTGTTTTATTTTTTCTAAATGTAATAAATTTTAATTTATTTCTTTGTACGTGAATAATGTCTAAACAATCCCAGTAAACCAAATGCTTTTTTCTTTTTCTTTTTGGAATTTTGAACCACTTTCATGGCATGAAATCTACAAAATAGAAAATCTATACCCATGATCATGCTTTTCTGGCCAATAAATCAACCCTATACTCAAGAGGTTGGAAAATTAACACAATATTAAGATAGACAAACTGATATTTTTTAAGTAGGAATTAGAAGCATGTTCATTATGAAGGTGAGGTAGTCATATTTAAAAGATATAAGCAGTTCATCTTGAAGGTTGCATATACCACTCTATGGTCCATTGGGAATTCCATTGTCGAACAAAGATCTCTTCCATATATGAATGAAGAGGGGAGGACTTTTACATTGAATCTTAGAACTTTGTGCTGAAAACAACATCAAGGGAAATCAAGAAAACATCTCACACTCGTGAAGACATCACCCATGATCCCTCGGTTGACACTGTCAATGTGATTTCAATGGAGAGTTTGGAACCGACTATACTTGATGAGGACCCAGAGTTAGAGACGAACCAAGATGAGAAGGAACAAGCAGCTTTATATGTACTTATGGACCTTATGACTCCACCACAAATTTAACAAGTATGTAGAGAAAGTAATTTAGAAGATTGGAAAAGTGGACGGTGTCCATGATCTAGAGTTAAAAGAAGGAGATTAAGAACACAATGCTTTAAGGATTACTCTCTTTATTATGCTTTAGAAAATTCCTCAAAACTAAAGCTCACAAGTTCTCTTAATCTCTCAAGAATTCTCTCAACTCATAATGTTTGCCACAACTCAACAAACATATATATAAGGTTTAGATAACTCCTAAACCGACTAGGATTAGGACTTAGATAACTCCTACACCTAATTAAACTTTATCACAAAACTCTTTATCATAACCAACTTATTATGATAACTTGGGCCTCACGTTTTAACCAAGCTTAACCCAACACATGATACATTTGGAAACACCAATATCAGAAAAAGATATCAATGAAATTTATTACTTCGCTCAAACAAGATATAAGGATGGGATACCAGACCAGTTACAGCTCGGAACAAAAATAGAAGGGCCTTGATATGCTAAAAGAATTGGAGACTGCTCGAGAAGGGCTTCGATTCAAGAAGAACCATGACAACCACCAAAACAAATGAATCTTGTCTCATAAGGACTTAGCCGCAAAGAAAATCATTTCCCAAAAAGATGACGTCAAGAACCAAAGAGACCGGAATACCAACGAGCTAAGGAGACCTCAAGCCACTATTGATTATGAAAATCACACAATTAATTTGTTTAAGGGAGGAAAACAAAATCAATTAACTCTTCTTGCTATTTGTGATCAAAGACTCGAAAAGAAGGATGAATTTTATTGCTTAGAGACAATGCTAGGGTTTAACTCAAGAACAATTAGGGTTTTTGTGCAAAGTTGCGGATCCCTTGAATAGAGGACAAATCCCTCTATTTATACATAATTAAGGCGGTTTAGAGATATGTTCATCTTCTAAATCTTCGGGGTCTTATCCTCTGCTTTTCCTTTCTTTTCGCGATTCTTCTTATCTCTTAAGGAAAATTTCCCCTTCCTTTGTGGGAAGTCGGTTTAGGCGACCTCCCCTCTTCAATTCGAGATCGCCTGGCGACCTTCTTTCTTTAGCCCATTAACAGGCTTAACCAAGATACCCTGGTTTAATTGAATTCTCAGATTTATTCGTAATTCGTCCGGTTTAAGCCAGTATTGTCGGAGGTGCTAATTCTTGCACCAACAGCGTCCCAGACCATTAATGTTCCCAAGAATACCAGACCAATTGCTAAAACATACTGCAAGTGTTTGACAACATTTACAACCAAATAAGAAAGTTAGTTTATCTGGACTCTCCGCAACGAATATCATGACTGGCCAAAGACTCTAGACAAAAAAAAAAGAGGCTTATAAGGCACTCAAAAGCGTCAAGTTCAACCTTATGATTAGAAGACATCAAGTCAAGACTGGGATTGTCATTTCAGTTTGGTGTTGTTTATCTCTTTTTTTCTTTTTCTTTTCTTTGTTGATTTAGACTTTGGAGCTCTTGGTTACATAAAGTCTTTTGTCGTTTCATTTTGCATTTTCTGCCGCAAATACTTGTCTTCTTTTTTAGTTCTTTTGAGATATGTACCTACTACATACCTAAAGAAAATTTTGTGCTTTATCAAAAGACATTCATCAGCTAGCATATATGGTGCACATCAATGCTTACTGGAACTCAAAAGAGAATCACTTAAGCTCTCCTCTTGTTCATCCGTCATGAATTTATGGAAGGTCTCTTATCATTCTTTTTTAAAAATTGTATTCCTACATTTTCAGATATATCAAATGATCCAAAGAAACTGATTGGCTTTTAATCCGAAAAGTTTTGATTTTTGACTTTGGTAAGACAAAGAATCCATATTTTTACAAATCGATCGTGTAGGAAACTAATTCAGGTTCAAAGAATTTGAAGATAACGTCCAAATTCGAAGTGCTGAGAGACATTCAAAGAGAACATGATTAATTTATCCTTTTTCGACTTTTTTCAAAGTCACATACAATTAGAACTATTTCCCTAAAACGGAATTACAAATTCTGGTCTCATTCCAACAACCAGACACAGAAAAGCATATTATAAAAACATATTATATCATTACTACGTTGATTATGTTTAGTTCACATATTAAAATCATCCTAGTTGTTCATCATTTGATTTAAATTTGCGATGCCTAATACAAATGCCAAATTACAATAATGATGAAAAATATATTATTTTTGCATTTTTTCACGTGTTGAAATGTGAAAGTATTTTATATTTTCACCATTTACACATGATCAAGTTTTATTTCTCGAAAGTGATTTTGTTATATAAACCACGAATGTATTAAAAATATAATTGAAAAAAATCGTAAAATACATAAATTTACTAATTTTAATCTCTTAGTATTGTATGATTATTTGTGGAAACGTATATATTTAGCTATTGTGTTCCATCTATTCAATCGTTTTATTATTCCACTCATAGTCAAATCCCAATGTTTTACAAAACCACCTAATCAAATTTCGATCTCCAACCAACATTCCAATACTTAATTAGTACTTACAAGAAATGTGTAGTAGAAATTTGCCATTTGGATAAGACATGACCAAGGCCATAAGAAAATAAAAATTCCACCAACTCTTTTTTCTTTTTTGGTCTTAACGTGAACCACCAACTCTTTAGTTGGTCAAAAGGTTATTTGGACTTTTTAAAAACTCCAAACTAGTAAAGGATAAACGAAAGTTTCCTCTCCTGTCCATATATTCATACATACAAGACCACAAGACCTCATACTTCCACAATGGATTCTTCATCTTCAGTAAAAATCGTCTCGAAATGCTTCGTGAAACCCAAAACCATACCAGAAGAATCAAAGCAACCATACTATCTATCTCCATGGGACTACGCAATGCTCTCTGTTCAGTACATCCAAAAAGGACTTCTCTTTCACAAGCCATCACTTGACTCCATTGAGACTTTGCTTGAGAAGCTAAGAGAGTCTCTGGCTGTCACACTAGTCCATTTCTACCCTCTCGCGGGTCGTCTCTCGTCGTTGACAACCGAAAACCCGAAATCTTACTCTGTTTTTGTTGATTGTAACGATAGCCCTGGCGCGGGGTTTATCTACGCGACCTCAGATTTATGTGTAGAAGATATTTTGGGTGCTAAGTATGTACCTTCGATTGTTCATTCTTTCTTTGACCATCACAGAGCTGTGAATCATGATGGACACACCCTGAGCCTCTTATCAGTCCAGGTTTGTTATATATCCATTTTTGGAGGATTTATAGGTTTATAGATTTATTTATCCTTGTTAATTTCTAGACATACATTTGCATTTCCGAACATTGAGAATTTTCAGATTCAACTAGTATTTAGTTTCTATTTTCTAAGATATAAATTGATGTTTGAATTTGTTTATTTTCTTTTTTTTTGGTATGGTTTTGTTTGACCAAATTAAACGGATGGGCTCACTTGTGTAGGTGACAGAATTGGTAGATGGAGTTTTCATTGGACTGTCTATGAACCATGCGATGGGAGACGGTACTGCATTTTGGAAGTTCTTTACCGCTTGGTCCGAAATCTTCCAAGGACAAGAGAGCAACAAAAACAGTGACTTGTGTCTTAAGAATCCACCGGTCTTAAAGCGTTACATCCCTGAAGGATACGGTCCTCTCTTCAGCCTTCCTTATAGCCATCCTGATGAATTTATCAGAACCTACGAATCTCCTGTTCTCAGGGAGAGAATGTTCTGTTTCTCATCAGAAACCATAAGATTGCTTAAAGCAAAGGTCAACCAAATATGCGGAACTACCTCCATTTCATCTTTCCAGTCGCTAACCGCGGTTATATGGAGATGCATAACAAGGGCACGGAGATTACCCCTCGACCGAGAAACAAGTTGTAGACTTGCTGCTGACAACAGAGGAAGAATGTATCCACCGCTTCACAAGGAGTACTTTGGAAACTGCCTCTCTTCTTTGAGAACGGCTGCAAAAGCCGGTGAGCTATTGGAAAATGATCTTGGTTTTGCTGCTTTGAAAGTGCATCAAGCGGTAGCTGAACATACTAGTGAAAAAGTATCTCAAATGATTGATCAATGGTTAAAGTCCCCTTTCATTTACCATATTGATCGGCTTTTTGAACCGATGAGCGTTGTGATGGGAAGCTCACCGAGGTTTAACAAGTACGGTTGTGAATTTGGGATGGGAAAAGGAGTGACGCTTAGAAGTGGCTACGCGCATAAGTTTGATGGAAAAGTATCTGCTTACCCAGGAAGGGAAGGAGGGGGAAGTATAGATTTGGAGGTATGTCTTGTTCCAGAGTTTATGGAAGCTTTGGAATCAGATGAAGAGTTTATGTCACTTGTTTCTCTTTGAAAAATTACCAATTTCTTCCAAGTTTCTCAACATTTTTATATGTGTCTTTCATTTGCTATTCTCCTCAATTTGTTTATCAACATTTTGATTTTACCTTAAGCCTTTTTATTGTTCATTGATAAATTCTAGAGATTGCGGCACAAAAATTGGCAATAATGCGTTTTTGCTTGATGTAATGTTTTTTCTTGGAGATCTGCAAAATCAAGTAACTTTTAGTATATCAGGTACCTGCAAAAATGTGAGATGTCTGACACATAATTTAAGGCTACATGTGAGTGATTTAATCCAAACATGGGAAGACGTAGGAACATTGTCTCGAACTCTTAGGTCCCATTTAAAAAAAATTGCAAATGCTATGCAATGAAATTGTAGGCTAACATCAGCAAAAACACCAAAGCTACTTGAGGCCATTGGTTTCTTATTTAGTGAATAGTCACAACAACAATCCATTCCAGCTCACAACAACAACAAAAATCCAAAAACAATAATCAAATAGATGAAATTCAAACTCGACCATTGCCACATCTTCAAGTATTGGGTTCTAACACCCATGGAGGGCATCTGAGTTTACTCCAAAAGTACCTCATAGAATGAAGCCGTGCATAGCAGTAATAAGAACAATAGCATATGTTGTTATAATTCTTAAGAAAGAAGGGACCTAGGCAACGACATTGACAATTTACGCAAAGTGGCCGTGAAGATGTATTGTTTGGCAGCAGTTCAACACCGTCATTGATTTGTTCTCCTGTTTTGGCGAACTTGATATCCCAAACTACACAAAAAATATGTAGAGTAACCCCGCAATCTTTACAAGTGTAGAACCACGTCTTTAGATTGATTTCTCTTTCGCAAATATCACACCAACATTTGCCGCTTGCTTTTTCATCACCATAACAAAGAGTGAGTAGATGATCATCATACCTGGGAAGCCTTACAGTCAATGGTAGAGTGGCACAACGAAAATCCAAAAAGTAATTGCATTTGATACAACCTATAGCGTATTCTTTTTCAACGATACCACAGCCCTTGCAAGTCTTCACATTACCGCGTCCAAGTTTAAGGAAGAGTAAATGATGATCATGACTTCCATGGAAAAAAGGAACAGTAATCGAACTGCATATTAAGTCAAAGAACTTTTCCCGATATGTAGAGTAGATATTTGTAGAGTAGATGAATCCTTTGCAAAAGACTTGTCGACAAGCATTGCAAGTTTCTGTGTTGCGTTGGTTTTGGAGGCAAAGAACAAGATGTACTGGGCTCAGAAAATGTCGTTTCTTCTTAGAAATATTAGCACATGTTTCGTGGAGAATGAAACTGCAAGATGATTCTGAACAGTTGTAGAATGTATCAGAATCGATGGGACAAACACATGCTACACACAAGACGCTCTTCTTCAAAGCAATACCGTCTTTGCTCAAGTTATGTTCATGAGTGAAATGAGTGATGGTGTTGTCATCATTCTTCTTAAATGGCGTGATATCTTCAATTTTTTCAGGTTTTCCATCGAGCTCTCTCATATCCCATACGTCTCTTCTTGTTGCACATAGTGAATGAATAGCATAATGAGGACAAATGGAACAAGAATAAGCCCCATATGACCAATCAATTTCTTCCCAACAAACTCCACATCTCCATTCTCCAGGACCAAGAGAATACTTGTATGAAACGCGGTGGTCATGGTGGTTGACGTTAATGACACGAGGTAATTGAGCACACTCTTGATGGAAGACCATGAAATCACATTGAGCACATACATAAGGAGCACGGTCGCCTTTCATCCCACAAGCATCACAAACGAAGGAGATCAATCTTGGCATGAGTGTGAGTGTATGCTCATGGACCTTCACATCTGAAAGAGCAACTGGTGTGGGTTTCCTAACCGCACAACGCATATCCAAGTTGAACTTACAAATATCACAATGATATAGTAAGTTCCCAGTGGCATCTCCACATATATGACATTTTAAGTTTGTGTAATCTGGAGCTCCATTGCTGAGAAGCTTAAGAGGATGTCTGACATGAGAAGGATGAGTAATCTCTGGTGAGTCGAATACGAAAACACATCTCTCATGAATCATGAACCTGCAACGAGGGCAGCAATAGTCTATGCCCGATTCATTACAAAAGTCGCAAAGCATATTATTCCCGTGTTCAACCTTGATTAGAGGGTGGTGGTGCCACGGCATTTTCAGAGGGGATCGAGCACATATGTGATCAATTATGCAATCAATATCCAAATTGAGTTTACAATCAGAGCAATGATAAAGAAGACGCTTGGTCTTTTTACCGCAGAGATGGCATTTTTGGTCGGTGTAATCAGGAGCTCCTGTTGTGAGAAGCTTAAGACAATGTCCATCATGAGAAGGATGGTCAAATATCTCTTGTATGTCGAACATAAATACACATTTCTTGTGAACAATAAACTTGCATTCACCACATGAGAAGACATCACCAAACGATCTATCACAAGCATCGCATTCCAAACCATCACGATGTTTAATGATTGATACGTGATCCTCGTGTCCTTCGAAGAATAAACTCATGGCGGTTGCGATTCGCAGAGGTGGAGAGACTGCAAGATAGTGTTTGGGTAATTGTACTTTGGTTTCGTATAATAATGGATCAATATAGTTTTTCCTCTCTATACTCTAGTTATATCAGTGCTACTTGTTATTATATTATCATATACATTAATATTGATGTCGACAAATCTATAATATAATACAAGTATACAACTAGTGGGCACGTTGTTTGTTTAATTTCAAGGCTAACATCGATTGTCCCCCTTCGGATTTGTCGCCATGTTAGTACCTTGACTTCTTTATTTCTTATCTTTTCTCTTCTAACTTTCAAAAGCCAAGTTTTCTTCTTACTTTTTATTAAATAACAGAAAACTATTACCTTGAATATATATATAAAAAATTGATTCCATTATAGCAGCTCAGATTGGCAACGGTGCGGTGACCAAACTCGCAAGTCACCATTCAAAACAAAATTAATAATATTTCAATAACTTAGTCGTACATTAATATGCGAATTCTGAAACAAAAATTAATAACATTTTGAATTTTATATTTATATTTCAAGAAGTTCTTCTTCTTCTTTTTTGATGAAATAACAAAAAATTATTTCCCTGAATATATAAATAAAGATTTGATTTTATTGTATCAATCTAGATCATCGAAGGAACACCAAAGTTATGGTAGCTCAGATTGATGTATTGAATGACAACGTGCGGTGACCAAACTGGCAGGTCACCATTCAGAAAAAAATTAATAATGTTTTAATAACTTTTTCTATATTAATGTTCGAATTCTGAAATATAAATTAATAACATTTTGAAAAGAAAAAAAAAAAGAAAATATCAAAAAAAATTCCTAACATTTTTAATTTTGTATTAAATTTATATTTATAAAGATGCTAGTTTTCTAAGTAAAAATATGAATATATAAACTAATTAAGTTTTGCATAACTAAGTTAAAAATTTTCCATCTAATTTTTTTTTGTTTCTAATATTTTTCGTAGATGAAATTATGTTTTAACAACTTAATTAATTTTTCCATATATTTATGGTTAATTAAGTTTCCTAAAATCGTGTTTCCTTAATTTTAGATGGAAAAATCTTAACTTAGTTATGCAAAACTTAGTTCATAAAACAAAACTAAAAATTGGAATGATTCGTTAAATAAACCAAATGTTACAACAATTATTCAATCAAATGGTTATAACAATTCATTTATATATATTTTTAAAAAATTAAAAACTAATAATTTATGTAGTTATATTGTTACACTGAAAGACGACGTAACTGTAGATAACTAAATGTTACAACAATTTAGAAAATAAAAAAAAGTTATAATGATTCGTTAAAGAAACCAAATGCTGCAATAGTTAAACTTGACGGTTATATAGAAAAAGATGATAATAAGTTATAAAAAATTAAGACAAAAGACGCAACCGTAGAAAGCATTTATTCGGTTTTCTATTATTATATAGAAAAATTACAACGGTTCATAAAATAAACTAAAAATTGCAATGATTTTTCAAATAAATTAAATGTTACAATGGTTCAACTAAACAGTAACAAACGTTTATGTAAAGTTAGGGTAAAAAGACACAACTGTGGAGACATTTATTCGGATTGTAATTTTCTTAATAAATACAATTGTAAAATAATTATTTTAGTTTTTTGAAAAAGAAATTAACGAAAGATTATGATTAAAAAACATAACTGTACACAACTTAAAAATTTTTTTTATTGAGATTGTTATTATTATATAAATTACTAATGTTAGTATTTTTTATCTTTTTGTCAACAGCTTAAATTAATATTGCTCAAAAGAGCCAGTCCGGTTGAATGATGTTTACATAGGTAATATGATGCAGTTCGGTACGAAATCTTCGTGCCAAATTATCCGCCTTAATATTTTCACTACGAAAAACTAAAGATAAAGAAAAATTAGAAAATTCTTCCTTGTCGATTTGAATCTTCTCTAGGTGTGCTGAAAATGTTGGTCATTCGGTCGGAGAATACACCATCTTTACCAAATCAGAACAATTTGTAAAAAACGGTACGTCTTGGTTGTCGGCAATAATCATGCACCTCATCGCCAACAATGGGAACCGCCAACCTCCTAACTCCACTACATAGCTAACGAGTAGTACCACCCAGCGCCTGAGAACTTGTCAATCTCTTTCCATGAACCATCAACGTAGCATCAAAAATCGGAATTGATTGACAAAATTGAACCAACTACTCCCCAGATACGACTATCCATTTCCAAAAAAACCTGATTTTTCGTGTAAAGCTCAATTTGCGCTAATTGACATGCCAGTGCCTCATTCTCTGCTAAACGTTGGACCTCCAAAGACTTTTTATCAATATTGTCATAAATTTTATCATTTCCCGCTTTTCAAATGTACCAAATTATCCATGGAAACGAAGATGTATCGACTTGTGGGCTTGTTCTCTAGAGAAGAATCCAAATTCGTGATGATAGAAGTTGTTGGAAAAATCCCTGGTGCCATAAGAATTTGTGATAGCGCCCACGTCTGACGAGCTGGGGGATATTCAAAAATGGCAAGATTAATTGTTTCCTCACATCTGCCACTCTATGTCACAATTTATTCTCCGTTTGCGCATATTTGCCGTAACCGATACATAACCACATTAAATTTGCCATAAAAAGCGTTTTAACTTTTGTGGGCATTGCACTTTCCAAGTTTTGTGATTTCAACGGTTTTGTATTTGTACCAAAAAATTACTTTGGATTGACCTCCAAATTTTCTAACCATGACGTAAAATATCCAGACTTAACTATATATTTACCTGTTTTTGTAAAATGTCAACCTAACGTATCCTTCTTTGTTGGCGCACCCAAAGGTAAGGCAAAATTAACGGTACATCTTCCGGATCAAAAACTCTTCTAGAAGATCAATGTTCCAAGATTTCGACCAGCTGTCTATAAGACTTTTGACTTTAAGGGATGTGTAAAAAAGAAACCTTGAAGAATTACGGGTCTCGGGAATTGAGCTGGTATCCACGGATCCTCCCATACTGAGATGGACGTCCCATAACCGACTCTTTTAATAAGTCTTTATTAACCAGAGATCTATTTGAAATTATACTCCGCCATCTATGAGATGGAGAGTAAGATTTTATTTGGTCCAGAGGATTGGACTTCCGATAATACCTTCCTCTGAAAACCTTCGCAAAAAAACGAATCGGGAACCGTAATTAATCTCCATAATTGTTTGATAATAGAACCGAATTAAAATCATCCACACTTCTGAACCCAAGCCCACCTTCCGATTTACTAATACATAGTTTGTTCCAATTTATTTAATGCATATCCCTTGATTGACCATTTGAGATCCACCAAAATTTTGCTACCTCACTTGTCAGTTTGGAATGGATTGTTTTTAGTAGTCTAAAACAATACATAACATAAGTTGATAGTGCAGCAGCTACCGATTTAATCAACACCTCTTTACCACCTTTCGATAAGAATTTAGCCATCCAACCATTTATTCTATTCTGTAACATGTTTCTTACGAATGAAATATTTTTTTCTTGGATCCACCTAAGTTTTCCGGTAATCCAAGATATGATCCCATACCGCTAATGTTTGAAATATCTAGTGCTCCGTTAATTTCCTTCTTAATCGAGTCATCACTTTGTGGCCAAATTGAATTGAGAACTTAACAAAATTAATCTGTTGTCCCGAAACAGCTTCATATTGATTTAAAATTCCTAAAATAACTTCACATTGTTCTTTAGTAGCCTTACAAAATAACAAACTATCATCCGCGAAAAGCAAGTGCGAAATCGAAGGACTTGTTGTTGCCACTTTTATACCAATAATCAATTTATCTTGTTCTGCTTTTAGAATGTTAGCAATCAAAACTTCCGTACAAGAATAAATAAATAAGGAGAGAGTAGAGCTCCATGTGTTGATCCCCTCTCTGGTATTATTAGTCCTTTAGGTTGTCTGTTGAGGAGAAATCTGTATTGGACTGAAGTGATACACCACATTATCCACGATATCCACTTCTCACAAAAACTCATCTTTCTTAGTAACTGATCAATACATTCCCATTCTACCCGATCATATGCTTTACTCATATCCATTTAATAGCCCTGAATTTTCCTTTATGAGATAGATTTGTGCTTAGCCCATGAAACATTTCTTGTGCTATAAGAATGTTATCTGAGATAAGATGGCCTTCGAAAAAGGCATATTGTGTTTCCGAAATAAAATTCGGTAGAACGTATTGAGGCGTAGACACTGAATCTTAGATATAACTTTATAACCGACATTATAAAGACTTTTCTTAGTTCCGTCATTCGAGTCGCACGTTTTGTTTTTGGTATTGGACATGTATTCGTAGTATTTAACCGCTTATCAAAAAACCTCTGCTGTAAAAAAGAATTGACAAGGTTTATCATATCCGTTTTAATGGTATTCCAAGCTTGCTGTAAAAACAAAGCTGTCATACCTACTTTCATACAAAGCTAGTATTTGAAACTATATTATTATCAAAGTTCAACATCACAATCCCTTTGTTGACACTTGACACTTACAATGTGATCTCAATGGAGTGTTTGGAACCGACTATACTTGATGAGACATAGAGTCAGAGCCGGACCACAAGTCATCAGAGGAAGCAATGCGAGAGTTATCTAGTGAAAGACAGTCCTGTTAGATACAGAACAATGTTGCATAGAGTAAATAGAAAAATATCTGAGAATTGTACATCTACTCTCTTTTATTTACTGATCAAGCCCATAGTTATACCGGACATGAGAGCCAACATCTTCCACAATTTGCCACAGAACTGAAAGTAGCAATACCCTTCATATCTAACTTCAATTTCTAAATGCCAGAAAAGAAACACAAGTCCTTCAACTCAATGCCATTGGTTTTCAATCAAACCTCGTAGTTTTATTTCGTCGATAAAACCTATACAATTGTAACTCCAAACCCAAATAAGTCCAGAATTCAGCTAATGTCAACGTAATTTATTCGAGAAGTAACAGTACATTGAGCACGAAACCATACCACTCAAATTAAACAAAGTTTCAGTCTCATTACTCCTTCACACATTGTAAAGGACTTATTAGAAAACAACACAAAGAGAAACATATATAAGATATCTGATCCTCAATCCCACCATAGTCCCTGAAACATACAACAATATCAATCAACGTTCTAAAAACATTAGAGATTCAATATCAATCAACGTTCTCGAACAAACTCATACCGAGAAATCGATCAAATCAAGTCGTCGGCGCAAGAAGGGGGAGAATCAAGTGAGGAAGGTGAGCTTGATGATCCTCAAGCCGTCCCTTAACAGAGTCACCATCCCAACGAACAAGAGTCGGCACTCCGGTGAGCTTAAATCGTGGATCAACTCTCCACGGATGCGCCGGAGTCCTCCACGTAGGTCTATCTCCGGCGTAAGCACGAATAAGATTCACCTCCTCTGGAAATTCCTCTAGAGTTTTGTAAATCACAGGTTCAGCTCTAACACAGTCTGATTCACAAATTAAAATCATTGAATCGATCAAGAAGATGAAATCGATTGAATATGGAAAAAAAACCTAAGAGAGAGAGAGAGACCTGGACACCAGCTTTGACCGGTGGTGGGATCATTGTCGGCGAGGAAGAGTATGAAATTGATCTTGCTACGATTGGTTTCGTCCGATTTCAATGGTTCCAACACCGATTCTATGGTTGATGGATTCGCGTCCAGCTTCTTCAACGTCATCTTTCTTCTTCTTCTTCTCCGACGATTCTGACTGATTTCTGGTAACCAATTTAGTGTTCCTTTTACCTCTTTTTGGACGGCCCAACTTAAACTAAGGGGATAATTGCCAAAATGGGCATTATTTGGCCCAGAAATTTCACATAAGGTACATCTACCGGGCCTTTCAAATTGGGCATTTATCACACGTGCGAAATTACACATTTGCCCTCTAAATATTGGGCGGGATTGGAATTGCTTGAATTCGCAAAACTGACGACGGAGATGACATCTCCAACAGTGCCGGCCTTTTTTGTGGCTGAGAAACGACGATGTGTAAGCTTAATCCGTGGGGTAGGTAAACGTGAGGAACGATACATGATATAAGAAGAGTGGTAGGTGTTTGTGGATATTTGGATCTGATAATTGTTGTTTAAAATTGTTGGATTCATAAAGCTAGAGCTGAAGATAGAAGTTCTTAGAGAGAAGGTGGCCGTTTGAACCATGAACTCTGAGGTAATGATTTCGCTTTTATACTCCTATACATATCCATTAGCTCTGGAAGCGATTACTCTGAAGCTCATTGTGAGGTTAATGATGTTAAGTTGGAAACTCACACAACTGTCACTGGAATTTAGTTGTTTGTATGATGGGTAGTAGTCCTTTTCTGTTATGGATATTAGTCGGGTTTTTAATTATATTATGCAGAGCTATGTTTGTCGTTTTGGATGCTAGGTTAAATTTTTTTTGGGTTTAAGTTGTTTTTGTACTTGTAGTCAGTGTATAGCAGAATGAATTCGTCAATGGAGTTTGGTTCTGTATCTTATAAGAACTGTTCACGTGCAGGGAGATGAAGATGCAGTTATCGTGATTGCTGGTAGCTGGGAGTGCTGTGAAAATGGTATATGGGATTTTCTCATTGCAAAGGAGTGCTATGCCCGAAGCATATCAATGAGCATGACAATGAGTTATGACGAGCTGATAGCGAAAGTTACTGCGGAGTTTGATCTGTCCGAGATGAGCCTGATGCCAAAGCTGAGTTATTGGCTTCCAAGCCAACTGTCAATGTTTCCAGTTAACCGCAGACCTCCTGTAATAATTTCAAGTGAAATGGGAATCCGGAATTTCCTTAATGTCCGAAGAACTGCAGTTCATCTTAATTTGCTCCTGTCTCTGCAAGAGGCTTCGGAAGCAAGTTGTAGTACACGCATGAGAAGAGTTTGTGTTGCAGCAGAGGATGAACAGGATCCTATCCATGGAGATGGGATCAGGATGTATAGTGTCGAGACTGCCACAACTGAGAACAGAAACGAAAATTCCGGCAGTCAGGTAAGGCGTAGGCTCTTTGGAGAAGGCCTTGATAAAGGGAAAGGGGTGATGATCGATGAAGGTGGTTGTAGTAGCCGGGGGATGCCTGAGTTATGTGTTGATGCTGGCCCTAGTTGTGTAAGGGAAAGTGTTGCTGGTTTGGGAAGGAGTATTGAGGAGATACCGGGTAGTACTGTCCCTGGTATAATAAGTCTTTCAAATGCATCAACACCTTCTTTATCAAATTATCTGAGTGAGACCAATACTGAGGATGAACTAATGTTGCGAGAGTTTGAAGCATTGGAGAAGCGTCAGGCAGATTTGGCTAAAGAGAAAGGTCAAACCAGTGCAAGGGAAAGGGGGAAGTCTCAATGTGATGGAGAGTCTGACGCCTATTTCACGGATGGGGTTGAAAGTTCAGGTTCTGAGGAAAATTGCTTGGCTGCGTATGAGCTGACTGCGTACGCAAACTGGGGGACCTTAATGACTCCGATTGGTCAGATGATTGTGCGGTTCCTGTTATGGAGGAAGGAGGCCCTTCTGCTGTTGAAGAACCTCAAGATGCTGTAATACGTAATGAGTGGATGGAGGAACCAAGGCATTCCAGAGAAAGAGATGTTGGTGATGAGGTCCTCGCTTACTTGAATAGATCTCTTGATAAACCTCTGAGTCTGCAAGACACTGATGATATGGGTGATGAGGTGGGGACAATGCCACCAACTGATGCAGGACCTTCTGCTGTTGAAGAACCTCAAGATGCTGTAATAAGTAATGCCTGGATGGAGGAACCAAGGCATTCCAGAGAAAGACATGTTCGTGATGATGTCCTTGCTTACTTGAATAGATCTCTTGATAAACCTCTGAGTCTTGAAGACACTGATGATATGGGTGATGAGGTGGGGACAATGCCACCAACTGATGCAGAACCTATGTTTGATGATGTCATTGACTTGACCAACACAGATGTGTGTGCTCCTGTTTCAGCTGAAGATGATGCTATCTATATTGGACGTGTTTTCAAAGATAAAGTTGATATGCAGAACACCTTAGCCGTTTATGCAATCAAGAGAATGTTTCATTTCAGGCAGACAAGGTCTGATCCAAGAAGGCTAATCTTTGTGTGCGTTGACCCCAGATGTAGGTGGAGAGTGTTTGGGCATCGTGTCTCAGACAACTCTACAAATTTCCAGGTCCGAACAATGACTTTAACCCACAGTTGCACAATTGCTGCAAGGTCACAATATGGAAAGCAAGCTTCAGCTAAGGTTATTGGTTCTGTATTGGAGAAGAAGTTTGCAAACGGATTAAGGGGGCCAAGAGCTGCAGACATTCCTGACATTGTACTTGAAGAGCTGAAAGTATCTGTGACTTACATGAAGGCGTGGCATGCGAAAGAAGCAGCAGTTAGGAAGAGCAGAGGCAGTGACGAAGAGAGTTACAAACTGCTTGCTGGTTATATGTATTTGCTAAGGGAAGGTAATCCTGGGACTGTTTACAAACTTGAGCACAAGTTGGGTGCAAAAGGGAGCAAACAGTTCAAATATCTTTTCTTTGCACTTGGTGCAAGCATTGCTGGTATTCCGCATATGAGGAAGGTAGTCCTTGTGGATGGGACAGCTATCAAAGCAAAGTTCAAAGGAGTTCTGTTAGCTGCTAGTATGCAAGATGCGAACTTTCAAGTCTATCCTATAGCATTTGGCATTGTTGACTCAGAAAATGCCCCTGCCTGGACATGGTTTTTTAGGCAGCTAAGTGCCCTTCTTCCTGACTCTGAAGATTTGGTGATCATTTCTGACAGGCATCGAGCAATATATGCGGGACTTCTTGAGGTCTATCCTCTGGCTTTCCATGGTGCATGTGCAGTGCACATAGAGAGGAATGTTAAGCACTTTTCTGGGAAAGGACTTGCATGCCTAGTTGGAAAAGCTGCAAGGGCTTTCAATGTTGGAGAGTTCAAAGAACACTATGTAGAAATTTGTAGCAGAAGCAAGAAGTGTGGAGAATACTTGGATGCCATTCCCCTTGAGCACTGGACGCAAGCTTACTGTAACGCGAAGCGGTATAATATGATGAGCAATAACATTGCTGAAGCGCTTAATAGTGCATTGGCGAAGATTGTTGAACTTCCTATTGTAAGTATGGTAGAGTCGATCAGAACAAAACTGATGCAATGGTTTTGTTTTAGAAGAGCAAAGGCAAAGCGTTTGCTTTCACTTCCGGAACCTATAACACCAAATGTGAACAAGTTAATGATGCGCTACCATACAGCATCAGCAGGTTTGAATGTGAAAGGCGTTTCAGATTGGAGTTACCAAGTGAGTACACCTGAGGGGAAGTCATACTATGTGGATCTTCAGAAGAAGACATGCTCCTGTCAGCAGTTTCAGAAGTTGCTGATCCCTTGTCCTCATGCACTGGCTGCGGCAAGGATAAACGGTGTACACATCCCAACACTGGTTGGAGATGTTTACAAGCTGACAGTCTTCCATGCTGCATATGAGCAGTTCATATTCCCTGTACCAAATCAGGGTGATGCAGAAGTCCCTGAAGTTGTGGAACAGGAGCAATTCAATCCGCCAAGGAATCCTCCTGGTCCAGGAAGGAGAAAGAAACGTAGGATTCCCTCAGCTGGAGAACATGTGGTACCTTTCTACACGCCTTAAACTTGTTATCAAATACAAGGATACACATACTGTATTTTACAGGCTTCCTCTGTTTTGTCTATATCTCAGGGAGGAAAGCGGAGAAAGGGTGGTCCTCATAAGTGTTCAATATGCTATGAAACAGGACATAACAGGGCCACTTGCTCTAATCCTGCTGTATAAGGTTGGTCAAGTAGTTGACGAAAAGTTAGAAGTTTGGATTTGTAATGGAACTAGTAACATAGAACTTTTAACATAGGTAGGTTTTATAATTGCAGGGGAGAGAACAGTTTTTTGTGCACCAAATGCAGGGCAGTGGAGGTTTTTTGGTAACTACTGTAAAGCAGCAGGCAGAGCCGGTATTGACTAGAGGCTGGGGTGAAATCTGTTGCGACTTGTAGAACAAGTCTTTTGTGGAACTGGTGCAAGAACTTTTTGGCCAGTGGAGTAAGCATGCTTTTGGATTTCAGCTTCAAGTCGTAGAAGGTGAAGGCGGAGACATGAGGGGTTTTGTTTTGTGAACATGTACTAGGCAAGGTAATTGATTGATATGTATTGCCTGTATGGTTGTGTTTGCCTGAAGGATGTAAGTTTCTATTAGAGACTGCAAATAAGTTGCAAATATGTATGTCGCTTTGTAAAGGACCTAACTATATATATGACAATGGCATTTGGTGCAAATTTTGTTTTCTGAATCAAAAGGAAACACTAGAGGTAGGACAGAAGTAGCAGGTTTTTTGGCTTAGGCGTTACACAGTTTGGCATAATAAAGACTACAGCATACGACAGTTCCATATACTAATACATCAGTAACATGGTCTACAGAATAAGAGCGAGATAGTGGCTGACGAGATAGGAGGATGGGTTAGCACATTGCCTGAATACGGCTTGCGTAGTGGAAGGCGAAGCATTTTGGGCAGAGATGGAGAAGAGAGAAGTTGTTGAGCACACAGTGTGGTAACCCACCAAAGCGGAGTGTGTTGTCATAGAGGCCAGAAGGTAAAATTCCCATGTCCGCTATTTGATGTATAACCATTTCAGCAACTCCAACAGCCTCCTCAATGGTGCCAACACTTCTGAAGAAAGCAAAGAACACTTCCATGTCATGGTCAAATGCACCGCAGCAAATCAGGAAAGCTCCAAGAGCAAAGTGAGCGTATATAACTTCGTCAGTTGCTGAAGCTATCAGATCGAGTGCCCTTTGGCTAGGGCCCGTCTGAACAGCTAAGCGGAGACCTTCGACATAGTTTGCAGTAACGTTGCCTGCAGCAACACATTTTAAAAGGAAAGGCCTGTACCTGGAGTTTTCAAGGCATAGGCGGCTCACGAAGATGAATTCATCTATGTCAGCATCCTGGAGCACTTCGTCTGCGAAAGCTATTGCTTTGGTAGCAGGACCAGCAGCGATTAGAGGGCAAAGCTCACGGAACCCATGCTTCCCTACACGCCTAACAATGTCAGTAAGAAGAACATTTGGAATGGTATTCATTGTCCTGCGCTTGCTCTTTATGTGTTTGGGGTACGCTGAGGGAAGACGGTGGAGAGGTATTTCTCAGTTTTATAGGCGGAAGAAGTTTCAGTGTTTTCCATTGTATGCAATAAATATGGTAGTTCAGAACTGAGTAAAAGGTGTACTCATTTATGACTACAGGTGAAATAGGAGAACATAGTGGATGCGTTTTGGGGGAAGAGAAGGAGTAGGTAAATGTGTCAGTAAGCTTATTTGGGTGAGTGGAGAGTAGTAAAAGGAAACAGAACATAAGTTAAAAGAAGAATAACATATTTTAGCTGGAGAACAAACACATAAAAGGGAAAATACATATAAGAGGAAGAAAGACTAAAATTATTTAAAAAAACAATAAAAGACACCAACATAACTGAGCAAGAGCAGAGAACTAGCAAAGGAGGAGGTACATAACAGAGAACCAATAGAGGAAACAGTTACTGCATCTGTTGCTTAGGTTGCAGCCTAGACAGAGAGGAATGTCGACCCATTTCCAAGTATTACTATGACTCCGTATCTTCAAAGGGCCAATTTGCATTATTTGACTGAAGACAGTACTGCCAATGGAATCTGCTGCTTCGAATGAGCCAGCAGAACATAAAAATGTAGAACAGCTACGAAGAGCATCATCGTAAAAGCCCAAACACACTTGCAGCAAGGCTATGGTGAAGTTAGCATGAGGTAGAGGATCCGGTTGCGATAGCAGCATTTGGAGAGCATACTCTGCCCGGCCCTCTCTTGTTGCAAGCTTTAGGCTTTCTAGGTAACACGCAGTTGGATTACCAGCTTGGACACAGCGGGAGAAAAATGGATGGAAAGGAGATTCATTGGTAATAAGATGAGGATTGTTGAAAAGATATTGTAGAGAGATAGTACGAAGAACTGCAGGATCAGAAGCAAGTGTGTTGTAGAACTTTGAAGTCCCAAGCATTCCCCCTAGATTGATGAAACTATCAGCTCCTACACGCATAGCAATATCTATGGCAACATTGATATCAAGGTTTTCCATATTTGTTGTTTGAGTTATGGTTTGGTAGAAGAAGCATGTACATTATATAGGGAATGTAAAGTGAGGTGGTGGGTATGAAATTTAATACAGAGGGAGATGGTTGTTCTTGTTGTCATTAATTGAAAGAATACAGTAAGAAAGAGATAAGGAACTTATTGTGGATATGTGTAAGAGTAATTAAACAAGTTTGGTAGAACAACTACAATGGTTTACACGAGCGAAGAGAGCAACAATAGGGGAAAAAGTCTCAGTGTACTACAAATGGAAAAACTTGGTGATGTGGACATCAGAACCAAACCAGACCCGGAGTTGACTAGACCAGCCGGTTCAAGCCTCAACCAAACCAAACCGGACCAAAAAGGAGAATTTTGGCGGAAACCAAGTTTCGATCAAGAAAATGGCCTAGGACTGGATATTTACAAAGAAATCCATCCTAAGAAAAGTAATGGTTCAGCTGGAATCATAAATCACCATGCCGAATTGAAGTTGGTCCACGATGACTCACCCGGATCAAGCCATCTTCAAGTTCATCCACCCAAACTCATATTTCCTCGACCTATATTTAATATTCACCGATATTATGGACATTTTAAGAATATTGGGCGAGCCATAAATGAAGATTACCGAGCCATTGCACCGAGTTTCCACGAGAGCCTTCCTAGAGTGCCCCGAGTTCAAGTTCACCGATCAAACAACATATTTAATCGACCCATATTGAAGATTCACCGACCAGAATCCAATTGTATGAAGAATAGGCGAGAAACATGTATGTGTCATCGAGCTAGAATCAAAGATGGTCGAGAGACCCTCCATTCCGACAATACCATCACCTACCCGGAGCTGTTTAAGGAAACTTGTCTTTCCTTCCCTTTGTGCGTGCCCCAAAGCTATATATGGAAACCTGGAGATCCACTACACCTTCTAGAAGATGCTCCATGGTGCACCTTTCCCCACTTGATCATGAGAAGACCAAACTTACCATATTCGGATCCAAGGAGCTTTAATTCTCAACGGCTCATTTCTTATCAATGCTGCTGCATTTTAAAGACCCTCCACACGTCCCAGAGTGTCCCAAGAAGTCGCACCTACCTCCCCAAGCTTTCAAGATACAAGATCAAGACACTTACCTCATTTGGACCGATTTTCCCTTTAATGTTCCAACGGCTCTATTCTTTAAAGTTTGCGATTCTTTTCTTGTTTTAGCTTCTTAGGACCGTTGTTAATAAGCCTATAAAAGCTCAGTCTCGAATTCATTGTAAAGGACCCATTATCATTGATTTAATAAAAGTTTGTTTTCTTTCAAAGAGAGTCTTTGAATTGTTCTTGTTCTTTTCTTTAGAATCTAAGTGTGGAATCACTTCTTTTCTATTGATTACGGATCAGATTACTTGTGGAATCAAGTCTTCTTGTTCGTGTGTGATTGTGGAATCAATCGCAAACTCCATCTCCATCTATACCAACGCCCATTTCCGCGTGAAAGCTTTTCAACTCTTGACATCTTGTGATCAATAAGATTTGGTGGATTCCAATCTTATATCATCTGGTATCAGAGCTCAAAGCTCCTATCAAATCCAGGTTGTGTTCATCCAACCTTTATCTTTTCGATTTTTCAGTTTTTGTTGTTTTAATTTTTATTAAATAAAAAAAAAACCAAAATAAAAATTTGTTTCTTCCTTTTGTTCTTGTGAATTTGCTTCAGTATCATTATAAAAACAAAAAAAAAATATTTGGTTTTGTTTTCAATTTTAATTTCGTTTTTAAAGGAAAACCCATAAAAATTCATATTTTTGTTATTTTAATTAAATTTCGTATTTTTATTTGTTAAAAATCATAAAAGAAAAATAAAAATCAGTTTTCCTTTTATTGTGTGAATTTTTAGAGTTTATTTTAAATTAAGAAAAGAAAAATATCAAAATTTCCATATTTTTTTGTGTCTTAACTCTTTCTTGCCATATTTGGTTATTAGAAGTTTGATACACTTTCTTTTTCTTTGTTTTGTGATAGGAAGAAGAATTGAGAAGGACCAGAGCAAGAATGGCATCCTATTATATGGAGAAAGAAGAGATTGACTCATATGAAGGTGATTGGAACCAAGACGAGGATGAGTACGAAGACATGATCGAAGAGGAGAATGACTATGGGAGACAAACGTGGTATGAGGAATATGTTTCCAGTTCTGATTGTGGAGAGGAACCTGATGGTGAAGAACTGGAGCCGGAGCCACCTGATTGTTATCCATCTAGTCAATGTGCCGAGCCTTACACTTACATGCCTCAAGCAACGACCAAATGGAGCCAACCAAGTTTAGGGTATTATGAGGACGAGTATGAAGAGGACTGTGAGGGATATTAACATGAGGATCAACACTACCATTCCCCACATCGTGAAGAGAAGTCTCTCCAAACAATTTTGTCACACCGAGTTCCATCAATTTCACCTCGACCAAAGACGAGAGACAACTACCTTAGCAAGAGAGGGAAAATTAGTTCAGACCCTTTAACTTTTTCAGGTCATAAGGAGGGACCAGAAGCATACCTACGGTGGGAAGCAGCCTTAATGGACTGGTTTGAAAGGTACCACGTCCCGGAGAAAAAGAAAACATCCTATGCGGAAGATGCTTTAACCGGAGGAGCTTATGATTGGTGGGATGAGATAGAGACTACACGTATTCACTTCAAGGATCTAGCTTACTCTTGGAAGGAGATGAGAAAGCTCATGTATGGTGAATTTGTGAAGAACGCTTCTGCCCAAGCTCACCACAATGACAAAGGTGTAACACCAACGAATTCAAAGAGGCAGAATCAACAAAAGTCGAGCTCCAAAGTGGTGAACAAGAATGCTTTCCCTCTCCCTGAGCCAATAAAAGTGTTCCCAAACACTTTATCAAAGAAATCAGAGGCTAAGAAACCTGTTCAAGTGAAGGAGATTCAACAAAACTCAATCATCACGTCTTTATGTGAACCACAAGGCAAAACGAATCAAGTTAAGTCTTCTAGTACTTTGAATTTATTTGAAGTGACTTGTTATCGATGTCAAAACAGAGGACACAAAGCAAAGGAGTGCCCAACTAGACGAGTAGTAACCCTCATGGAGCCAAAAACAGAAAATCCCAAGGTAAAAGAAAAACTAGTTGAAACAGATTTAAAAATTTTAAATACTAGTATCATGCACTTGTCTTTGTCCAAGGGAATTGAAACAGGTCCAGAAACTAAGGAGGAATACATGGTTGAAAGAAAAGAACCAGAAATAGAAGTCTTTACCACGGATCAAAAGCAAGATCGACACACCATGTTGTCTAAGGAAACAAAACATGAAATTATCCCGAAGGTAAGTCTTCACCCGAATCTTTCTGATTTTAAACCTTTAAATTCTATGATAATACACTTGTTTTGTCAAAAAGAAGTTGAAAAAGGTATAGGTAAGGAAGAGAACCACTCGAGAGCATTGTCACAACAAAGTTTTCGAGAAGCCGAAGGTAACCAAGCTATCCTAGAGGAACAACCACCACCCCACGGTCTAGAACAGAGCTTTATCAACCAAAAAGAGGCTTTTATTAAGATGAAATTCGTGCATAATCATTGCCATATCTCCCAAGTAAGTGTGATTCAAGACTTTGATAAATACGGGAATCATTTCATATTAATTCGTAGTCTCCAATTCTATGTTTTTAAAATTTCAATTTCAAGTATAATGCACTTTTTCTTGCCTTTTAGTGTCTATAGAGGTGCAGGTACAATGGTGAAATGCAATTACCAAGGAGATGTACCATCAAAAGAAATCGTAGTCTCAAGTGAACAACATAACCAAGGCATTATGGAGTCAGTTTTGCTCACGCCAACAAAAGGATATGCTAGACGTGTCATTGACACTATACTGGTCAAAGAGGAGCCACCGGATTCACCTCAACATATCAAGATTCAAGGAGAACTTCATGGAGAAATAAAGAGTGGAATAGGAGATTTCACGAAGAAGGATACAAATTTGTCCCAGCATCAAGAAAATGTGTTTAAATGTCACATTATAAACAAGGATAAACCACCCGACTCATCCCAACATTCTCCAACGAATCAAAGCCGAGGTAACTATCTAAACTCCCAAAAGCGAATGAAACCTAACTTGTTTTCTCTTGGTGCAGGTGAAACAGTTTTGAGGTCAAAACTTTTTGAAGAGGGAGGGTATGATGTGGACATCAGAACCAAACCAGACCCGGAGTTGACTAGACCAGCCGGTTCAAGCCTGAACCAAACCAAACCGGACCAAAAAGGAGAATTTTGGCGGAAACCAAGTTTCGATCAAGAAAATGGCCTAGGACTGGATATTTACAAAGAAATCCATCCTAAGAAAAGTAATGGTTCAGCTGGAATCATAAATCACCATGCCGAATTGAAGTTGGTCCACGATGACTCACCCGGATCAAGCCATCTTCAAGTTCATCCACCCAAACTCATATTTCCTCGACCTATATTTAATATTCACCGATATTATGGACATTTTAAGAATATTGGGCGAGCCATAAATGAAGATTACCGAGCCATTGCACCGAGTTTCCACGAGAGCCTTCCTAGAGTGCCCCGAGTTCAAGTTCACCGATCAAACAACATATTTACTCGACCCATATTGAAGATTCACCGACCAGAATCCAATTGTATGAAGAATAGGCGAGAAACATGTATGTGTCATCGAGCTAGAATCAAAGATGGTCGAGAGACCCTCCATTCCGACAATACCATCACCTACCCGGAGCTGTTTAAGGAAACTTGTCTTTCCTTCCCTTTGTGCATGCCCCAAAGCTATATATGGAAACCTGGAGATCCACTACACCTTCTAGAAGATGCTCCATGGTGCACCTTTCCCCACTTGATCATGAGAAGACCAAACTTACCATATTCGGATCCAAGGAGCTTTAATTCTCAACGGCTCATTTCTTATCAATGCTGCTGCGTTTTAAAGACCCTCCACACGTCCCAGAGTGTCCCAAGAAGTCGCACCTACCTCCCCAAGCTTTCAAGATACAAGATCAAGACACTTACCTCATTTGGACCGATTTTCCCTTTAATTTTCCAACGGCTCTATTCTTTAAAGTTTGCGATTCTTTTCTTGTTTTAGCTTCTTAGGACCGTTGTTAATGAGCCTATAAAAGCTCAGTCTCGAATTCATTGTAAAGGACCCATTATCATTGATTTAATAAAAGTTTGTTTTCTTTCAAAGAGAGTCTTTGAATTGTTCTTGTTCTTTTCTTTAGAATCTAAGTGTGGAATCACTTCTTTTCTATTGATTACGGATCAGATTACTTGTGGAATCAAGTCTTCTTGTTCGTGTGTGATTGTGGAATCAATCGCAAACTCCATCTCCATCTATACCAACGCCCATTTCCGCGTGAAAGCTTTTCAACTCTTGACATCTTGTGATCAATAAGATTTGGTGGATTCCAATCTTATATCACTTGGTCACGTTGAACTAAAGAGAAATGATAGTATCCAAAGGGTAATACAGCGTCAAGGCGAGAATGGCGTCTTCCTAAAACCAGGTGCACTATAGTTTATTGACATATGTTTCGTAGATGTCAAGGGCATAGCGGAGGCGTGCATTGTCAATCTGGGCAGGCGTAATATTGAGAAGGCTACTCTGCAGACCAAACATGGTGAACTCCATAAACTTGACTGATAAAGGACCGCAGTCGCCGCCACGTTTATTCTGCGCAAGCCCAGGAACTCTTGTAAACGTGAAAGCAGTGTCAGGCCACAATGCAGGAATGGAACCGCAAACTGAGAGAATGAGCTGGGGCAGCATCTGCGCAAAAGGAGACATGAAAGAAACAACCTTACGGGCAGAAGTTAAGTCTTCAAAAGGGTCGAGGATATCTATATGGCCTTTCTTAAGATCGATCGCCAAGCCAACCCAATGACGCGTACCCCAATTCATCGGCAGGTAAACTGTATCAACATCTCGCATCCACTGAATCTCTGGTCGCCTTGGCGAAACTTGACCTTTGACATAGGAAATAAGCAAAGGGTGCCAAACAAATGCTTTGTTATTGTTGTCCTGCTTGAAGCTCATGTACTTGTTGCTGATGATGGAGGTGAACATGGAGTCAAGAATGGTGATCCAGCGCGTAATAAAGAAGGGATTGTAAGTGTCCCAAACAAAGGCGATCAGCAAATCCATGTGCTGGTGAGTAAGGCAGTAGTCAGTTTAAGATACAGAGAACAACACAAAAGCAGTAAGAAAGGAGAAGGTAGAAGTGGGTGGACAGACCATAGAGGAAACCCATTGCTGGGGTTTGAGAAGGTCGAAGAACAATGTTGCAGGGAACACAGTCCCACAGATGCTGTAATCGCTGCAAGAAATGGCAAAGGCAATGTAAAAATGTTAAAATGGTAACATAAAAATGACGAATGTAGGTGGAAGTGTTAAATGACGTAAGGACCTTTTCGTTGAACGCCTAAGCTGAGACATGAGGGTTGAAACTTTGGTGGGGGAGGGCTTATGAAGGGTATTAAGAAGTTTAGAACAGGCGGCTTTCAGCTTAACATCTTCGGAAGTATGACGCAGACGGAGCTTAGGAGCAGGTGCAGGGGGATTGACTTCTGGTGCTGCTGAAGATCGAAGCCTTTTGGAACGACGGGTTTCGGGCCGTTGAGAAGGCAGAATAGATGGTGATGGGAGGACTGGAATAACGCGGGGAAGACTACGGGTGGGCATAACTTCTGCATTAACATCCATGGGAGAGAAAACATCTAAGGGTTCATCAGGGGGATCTACTAAAACAAACTGCGTGATGTCAGCAGCAGCAACAGGGGGCACTTCCACTGGTGAGTCCTGCGTGTTATGACTTTAAAGTGAATGGTCTGACACTAAGACTGAGAATAGAGAAATAAAGAAGAATAATAAGTTAGTCAGCGTACCCCTGCAGTGGTCAACGATACTGAGGGCGAAGAGAGCTTCTTAAGGTGATCGCTGACGGGAGGGACAGAAGGGGGTAGCTCATTTACCACCGTGGAGCAGTGCCTATCAGTGGACGTGTGGGTAGCTTCAGCAAGTAACGAGAACGCCTGCAGATAGGGGAAAAAAGAACAAGCGTAAATAGGCAAACGAGGATACAAGGATATGATGGGGCTATATGAGAGGTGCTCCTGTTATCAGTACCTTGGCAGGGGTTCTTTTCTGAGCGAAACAGAACCGTTGTTTTACCGGGGAGACAGCAGGTGGCTCTAGTGGTTGCTCCCGAGCAGTGGAGCACGGAGAAGGAGGCTGGTACAGCAGAGGATTATAGCACATAGAATGAGAAAGATTATAAGGGTAGGCTGAAAATAAGTACCTGTGAAGAAAAATGAGGTACGGCGGTTGCAGATGTAGGACGGGAAGATGGAGGATGTGAATTTTTTTTTGCGTTACAGGTGGCCGATGTGGAACCTTCAGGTTCGATTGTATCTGATCTTGTGCCATCACGTTGACTAAGGCTGTGACCAGGGGCTGTTGGAACACGGACATACTGACCAGCACGGCCGGAACGGGTCACACGTGATGGTTCCAAAGACCGGGCTTCAGAAACATGAGAGGGGCTTTTGCCTTTCGGTGACTGAACAGCAGGTGGAGATTCATTTGCTCGCATCATTCCACGAAGGTCAGCGAGCAAAGATGCTTTAAAACCTTTAAGTTTTTTTATCCAGAAGAGTGTTAACATCCTCTGCAGTATTGATAAACTTGGGCTTTGAAGATTTCCTCTGTCGTGGCATTTCGGAAGAGTCAGAATCAGAGGTGGTACTAGTTGCAGTTCTTTCTTTCCGCCTGCGGGAAGTGTACAATGACGGTAAGGACCCATCACCACAACACCAAAAGGCTTTGGTAAATGGAAAACCAGCAAAAATAAGCCTTTCAAGGTTTCCGACTTTATCATCTTCTGATTCTGAAGAACCAAATGGAGGGCCATCCGGGTGTGGGTACAAAACCACCATCTGTTCACATGGGAAATAGATATTAGACCAACAGTAAAGTAGTACACAGAAAGGATGCAAAACTTAAAAGAAGCAAAACTTACAGATGGATCATTTTCAACAGCCAATATGTTGGAGGTATGGAATGACTTGCATTTGGGAAGGCGCGTTAAGGTTTTGTGAAGGAAAGTTGAGTCATCTTCAGAATGAGGGAGGTATTGAAGGAGCAACGGGATGGATCGAAAGGCAAAGAGCTGGATAGCAAGAGGGAAACCATGAACAGCCATGGTTGATTGCTTTAGCTTGTTTATAAGGTCGGCCTTCGTCTCTATTTTTTCCCCAACTTTGACCATACGCAGAATCCTTTGGAACGAGTGGCGGCCCCAGGGATAATTTAAGAAGAAGTCAACATTCTTCACCATCTCTACAACTTCAACCGAAGGTTTAACAGGTTGGGTCTTGCACAAGAGTATTCCTTCAACAATAACAATAAGAGCAAGTCTAAACCTACGCCAGATAGGCATATTTGGTTCAGCCTTTAACCAACCAACAATCTCCTTAACCGTAGCAGCACCAAGCGTCGGACCAATTAGTTGATACCAATAAGGAGCACTACCATTTTCATGCGTTGTTGCTGCCGCAAGTTGTTCGACAGGCGGCAGAGGAGAGCAACACAAACCAGTAACTTGGTGAAATTCTGTAAGAGAGAAACGCAAAGGCTGACCCCCATAGACAAACCAAGTTTCGTCTACATTGGTGGTATGAAGCTGTCTACATAACATCTGGTGCACCAATTGGCCAGATACAGAACTTTGCCTCACCGGCAAGGAGAATAAAGACCCAAGCGGGGACGACAATAGCTTCTGAAGCTCAGGTGTCCCTTCCAATGCAGTAAGTATGTCAATTAGGTATTGAGGTTTAGAGTATGAGTTGATACGCACCGCATGGCCAGGGTACCGATCGACTTGAAAAATCCTTTCAGGCAGGTCTTCTACAAGGTATGGAAAAGCAGAGGTGGTTAAGAGTACTTTATACAAAGACAATAAGAAATGGTAGACAGTAATGGAGAGAAGGCTATAAAGCTACTTAAAAGGGCAACAATGGTGGAGAACAATGGGCAGGCAAAAGAACAATAATCAGTAAACCAAAAGGGTAAGGGTTAAACACTGAACAGAGAATAACATTACAGGGCAGTACAATGGCAGTAAAGATAACAGGAGAAGCAGGACATATAGAGTTCTTTAATATTCAAAACTAAACCCTACAGGAACAACATAGAAACACTAAACCCAACTACAAACACCAAAACAGTATACATCCTTGTAAGCACAAGAACCTTAGCGAGGTTTGCGTGATAGAAAGTGGTAACAGCTCAGTATAATGACAATCAGAGGACACTAAACCATGGGATATAGAGTTCTTTAATATTCAAAACTAAACCCTAAGGGAACAACATAGATAGCCTAAACCCAAACAGGAAAGGGCAAAACACTAAGCATATAGAGTTCTTTAATATTCAAAACTAAACCCTAAGGGAACAACATAGACAGCCTAAACCCAAACGGGAAAGGGTAAAACACTAAGCATATAGAGTTCTTTAATATTCAAAACTAAACCCTACGGGAACAACATAGAAACACTAAACCCAACGGGAAAGCCCACAACAGTATACGTCATTATAAGCACAACAAGCTTAGCGAAGTTTGTGTGATAGAAAAAGGTAACAGCTCAGTATAATGACAAGTATAACACACAATACCATGGGATATAGAGTTCTTTAATATAAAAACTAAACCCTAAGAGAACAACATATACAGCCTAAACCCAAACGGGAAAGGGTAAAACACTAAACACCATAATGAATACAATCAGGTTAGGGCGTTTTATGTGATACAAACAGATAAGTATGGCTCGTGGGGTTAACATATACCTTTGGAAAGGAAATGATCAGCTAGACTCCCATTGGAAGGCATTGTTATGAGCTGAACCTGCAAGGAATCAAATACAAGTATGAAGGAAACGAAGTCGATATCCACGAGGAAAGAAAGCGCAAGACAAATCCACGGGGATGAGGAAGGGGAAAAAAAACTGTAAATAAAAATGCATAACATTGGAAGTACAGATCGGAAAGAAAAAATGGAATTTCAATTGGATTGAAAGATCCGAAACTAAAGAAAAGGGAGGTCGCAAATCTGTAAAAGATCTGCAGAGAAACCCAGAAAAGAAGAAGATGTGAGGCGATGCGTACACTTTTAGTCAGTCCTGTGTCACCGGGAGTTAAGGGCGGAGCTTCGCAGGAGCTACTGGAAGGGTGATAATCGGAGAGTTGAGCTACTGGAAGGGTGATAATCGGAGAGTTGAGCTACTGGAAGGGTGATAATCGGAGAGTTGAGCTACTAGAAGGGTGATAATTGGAGATTTGAGCTACTGGAAGTGCGATTAATGCAGATTTGATGAGTTTCGGTTCTCGATTTCAAGAGGAGTAAAGAAATTGTTTTTTTGAGCAGAGAGAAAGCACACTGACAAAGCGTGTAACAGCTGCTTTGATTTAGCTCGTCTTATGAGAAACGTCATCATGGTCTCGAAGCCACGGAAAATCAAAATTCAAAGCGTACACGGGGAGCTTAAGCGTGAGGGCAAGGTGGACATTTCCTCGCAGGTGAAAATACCTAAAACGAAAGTCCCGGCAATCGTACCGGATTCCGTAATTTTGTGTGGAAAAAGGCCCAGTCCGGTAATTTTATCTAAACTAAGGCCCAAATTACTTTGTAAATAAATTAGGGTTGGCTGATTTTATAGCCATAAACTAGTTGCATTCTCAGCTTTCCCCCCCAACCTTTTCGCTCCAGCTAATTCCACCATTAACTTAGATAATTCTCACAATTTCAACATGTACTTTCGGATTCATCCTTAAAACTACGCCTCCAATTGAACCGGTCATTAAACCGGTTCTAACCACAAATCCGCGTTTACTGTACCGCGATAGCGATTTACCCGATTAAAAACCCATTACCCGTTAAGAAAACGACGTCGTTTTCATTTTGATAAACTCAGTTGGCTTTCTCTTTCTCTCTGTATTTCTGTGAAGAATGGGAATCTTAGTTGGCTTTGTTGTTCTTTGTTTTCTTAAGATTGTTTTTATAAACAAGGGAACTCTATGTTGATTGATGCACACAGCATTAGGAATGAAGAACCCTAAACGCCCAAATCGATTTTGTAGAAGAAGAAGAATGAAAACGACGTCGTTTTTTGTTTGGGTTTTGATGAGTTTATCAAAATGAAAACGACGTCGTTTTCTTAACGGGTAATGGGTTTTTAGTCGGGTAAATCGCAATCGCGGTACAGTAAACGCGGATTTGTGGTTAGAACCGGTTTAATGACCGGTTCAATTGGAGGCGTAGTTTTAAGGATGAATCTGAAAGTACATGTTGAAATTGTGAGAATTATCTAAGTTAATGGTGGAATTAGCTGGAGCGAAAAGGTTGGGGGGGGGAAAGCTGAGAATGCAACTAGTTTATGGCTATAAAATCAGCCAACCCAATAAATTATAATTACTATTATATCCTTAATAAATTTATTAATTTTCCAATGACATACATAATATTACTACTATTTTATTTTAAATAATTAAAAAAAATTTACACTGACTAAAATATTTATTTAATTTAATTTTTAAGTAAAAACATATTTTATAATATTAGTGGTTAAGATATCAAATATATTAAATTTTTGAATGGAAACTTAAAATTTACTTAAAATGAAAAAAAAATTATTTTTTAAAACATTACTTAAATTGAAAGAGATAGAGTATCAGTCAGTTTTGAAGTTATGTAGTTAAAAGTTAAAACTGGGGAAAATGATCATTTTGGACCCAGACAATCCGTCAAATGCATTTTTCAACTATACAATCGCTTAATGCTAATTTCTACCCAATTTTTGATTTTTTGCGTGATTCAGAGTCGTCGTTAACGAATGTTAGTCAACTGTTATGGATGCTGGTTCAGATGACACGTGTGTGAAAAAATAGTAATTCGGTTTTGTAAAACGACGTTGTTTAGTGCTTGGTGTTTTTTTTTTTTTTTAAAATGATAAGATCCTAGAATCAGACCTTCGATTTTGACATATTTAAGCATACACAATACCAGTCATATATATACTTATAAAAGATTTTTTGGAATTCAATTTAATTAAACGATAATTAAATTGAGTTGTGTATTAGATTGATGTTTATAAAGAATAGATATTGTCTCTTTGTGTATTTTAATATTAAATTGTGTATGTTTAAATATTCGCGAAAACTTTCTTTAAATGCACGCCGAAGATGAAATTTTATACTCAAGAGGATACAACATATGAACCGAGTTAAACGCATGTCAAATAAATAATGTTATATCCTAACAGATACAACATATGGAACCAAATTACAAAAAACGCTTAATCAGACTGATTCAAGCATTAAACGCATTCAAGATGAAGAAACCAACATAGATTGCATATAACTACACATTCAATTTACAAATCCATCAACCCTTTTCATGAAATCCCTAAAACCCAACTAGGTGACTACTCACTGATGGCAAAAGGAATAAAACAAATAGATATGAAAGAAAACATGATTCAATCAAATAAAATGGAAATAGGGTTTAGAAATCTTTTGCAAATATTAAGAGAATGGATTTCTTTGCCCAAAGGTGTTGCTTACAAGAGAACTCTCAAAAGTTGTAGAAAAAGAAGCGTAGAATGAAAATTAGGTCTCTTAGGATTTTATACCCAGATACAGAAAATAAGAAATGAAACCAATTAATGAAAACCGAAACTGGGCGTCAGGACTGGATCGAACAATCCGGTGGGTGGACCGATCGATCCAGAAATGTTTGGAAGTCATTCTCGTCTCTGAGGGGAAGGGGATCGATCGATCTGGCACTTCTGGTATCAAACTCTGCAAGTGCTTCAAATGCTCACCATAATGACCTGTCTTCACTAATAGGGTATAATTCTTGAATGCACCGTTAGATTTCCTTCATATCACTTGGAAAATCAAGCTAACATCTTTATAAAAGTTGTGTTAAAAATTCAGAAATATCTAACAGTGGTAAGTCCTACATCTAAGGCCAAACATCTGACACTTCTAAACGAATCTACATCTCCAAATATGTGTTTATATCCCAAAACGGCTCGTTTTTCTCTGAAGCAACCTAAACCCTGTAGAGACTCAATAAAAGACTAATAGACTCTAAAAACACATTTTGACTCAATAGAATATATGATCTAAGAACGAAAAAAAAGACTCAAAACTAATAAAAACGCAACATATCACACCACTTGTGACTACTGACTTCTCTTTTTCATTAAATTTGCGACTACGCTTTGTGACTACAACCTTTGCGACGATATTAATAGTCGCAAAATCGTGGTTAATGGCTAAACTTTTTGCGACGTATATATGTAGTCGCAAAAAGGTCACAAAATAAGCGACTAATTTGAAACTGTTTCGTTTGGTCCCAAATTTGCAACAAATTTGCGACTAATTAACTTGAAGTTGCAAAACAGTCATAAAATATTAACGAATTCGTCGCTCTTTTTTGTGACTACAGATGTAGTCATATACTGTAGTCTCAAATTCGATGTTTTCTTTTAGTATGTTATTAGATTAAGCAAAATGTATATGAATAACTTAAAATAGAGATATATGATTTGAATACAGATTGAGAGGAATAGTTGAATAATAATAAAAGGATATTCGATTTTTGATTTTTACCGCAAGTGCAAATATTACAAATATGAATCGGATAATATGTAAAAGATAGGAATCGGGGTTAAACTATACCTCAAAGCATACAGCCTATACTCGATCGATATGATTTGATATATCATAGAGGATTGCGAGATCGATGACTTACAAGAAATGAAAAAAGGATTTATAAAATAAGTCTACTAGGGGTACGGTTGACTTTCTTCATTTACCCTTTTTCGTATTCTTGAAAGTCATTTCCTTGTTGAATAGTTAGCAACATAAGTGAGTTTTACGTTCATCCTAGTCTTGACCACAAAAGTTATGGGCTTGTCTTTTGTCGTCATCTAGATTAGTGAGCATAGGGTAGTGACAAAGGATGTTCGACATAAAACACCTATGTGCTCTGTCAGAGATCTTAGATGAGTCAAAGATTGGAGACAAAAGAATATAAAGATCCAAATCGCTAGAGCAAGTGAAAAAAGAAGAGGCCAAACGGGTTAGAGAATGAAAAAGATTCCTGAAAAATA